GGGGGGGGGGGGGGTTAACATTTCGATTTTTATGGGTTTGGGAGCTTGAAAGTTTCAAGCGCATGACAGCGCCAGAGATCGAAAGCTTGACTATTGACGGTCCTCCGAGTTCCGAGTTTGAGTTTCTGGCGAGATCGAAAGGTTAGAACATGGGATGTATTGAAGTTTGAAAGATTAGAAAGACCATGCATTAGTTGGGGTATATGCATGTTACTCATGCTCGGCTGCGAGTGGGATTGATGACATTGGGCCGCCCTCTCATTAGGCGATGGCGGCTGATGACGTTTCTTTACCCGAGACCTTTCCCGGCATTGCCTGGTCGGGAGTGCTAATATAGGGGCCCCAATAGTTACCTATACTGTTTTGGGTGTTCTTTATTATACTTATGGAAACATGTACCCCGAAACCCTATTCTACTTATTAAGGCCCCTACATTACCTTTGTCTATCCCGGCCCCACATTCGGCGATGGTGATGACATGTCCAGACCCCTCTGTTTGCCTTGAGTCACGAAGGCTTCGATGTAGCTAGTATAGGGGCCTTAATAATTAGAAATAGGGTTTTGGGGGGTTCCTGTTATAAACATAGTATAAAATACTCGAAACCCTATTCTAATTATTAAGGCCCCTAAATATTAACTTTCTAATGCGGAGCTCCGGGTTTTGGAGGCTAGGGCTCAGGGCTTGTGCGGGCGAGACTTGTTGAAGAACCGCGACGGCTGCAAAGGGCAATTCCTTTCTCTCCTTATTCTCTAAACTTTAAAACTCCCTTGTACGTTCGATTTTTCAAGCTTCGTGTTCGCTAGACCCACCCGTGACACCTATCCAATAGAGTTCGGGGAATCGAGAATTTCGCGCTGCGTTGTGTTAATCGTCGCAGGCAGACGCCTGCTGCGTGCCATCCACTCGCGCATCGCGAGGCCTAGAGAAAGAAAAAGAGGGAAGGAATTCATGCGTTTCGGTAGTCGGGGTCTAGGCAAGCCGGCTGGAAATCTGTAGGCCCTGAGCTTGCAAAGCATATCTGCCTGGTCGCGACACACGTTCACAATGTGCAGTGACGTCTAGGGTTGTGGGCTCAAGCTGCTGCTGCCGTTGCCGCTGCTGCTTCTGCTGCTGCTGCCGTTGCTGTTGCTGTTGCCATTGAAGAACAGGTGATGCTGATCCCGACCGCGATGACGATATGATGATGGCGGTGGCGGCAATGATGAGGACGATGATGGTTGTGATATGGTAACGATGATGGTGCTGACGACGGTGATTACGATGTTGACTCTGCAGAGGTTAGTGTCGATGTTGACAACGATGGCTGATGGTGACGGTGCCCTGCATGGTGATATTGAGTTAGGGTGATGGCGACGAGGAGGTCGAGGACAACAAGTCAAGTCGCACTGCTGAGCTCGAGGATCCGTGCAGTTCGGACTTAGCTGAAAGGGACCTCAAAAGTTTGAAGCACCCTGCCCTTAAGGGGAAGAGATCTCGGCATTTGTCTTGCCCCAAATGCTGAGCTTGGGCCTCGATGGGGATCTTCAGCAGGGAGAGGAGTCCATGAGTCGACTAGATGTCGCAAACCGTAAACCCTTATTGTGACAGTGACACCCCAAACCATCGTAAGCCCCTGGTAAATCCTGTTATACACTAAACCCCAAACCCTAAACCCTAAACTTTAGCTATAATCCTGTTATACCTTAAGCCCTGAACCCTAAACCCTAAACTCTAGTTATAGCCCTTATACTGGTCTCTGGCCCAAGCCAGATCCGACTATGAGAACTTCGGAGACAGGATGCGGACGGAAGGCATGGTGTAGATGCTAGTCCCAAGGACTACCTCTTCTAAGCTTTCGAATCCGAGAGCCTCAACCTAAAGCCTTCAAACCACAGCTTCTTCCCCGAGCTTACAACCCCTCAACCCCTGATGACTTGTGCAAGCCCCCTGAGCCCTAAACATAGATCCCACTACAGGAACCCTTATAGATCCCATTATAGGAACGCTTATAGATCCCCTTAAAGGAACCCTTATAGATCCCCGTATACCAATTTGTAAGTGCGACCTAAGCCTTGCAACTCCTTCATGCTGCACGGTGTGGCCCGGCCAATGCTGCGGAGCTAGCTGAAGCCTGCCTCTTGACTGCAAAGAAATCAATTAGAAGAGGGTTTTGGGGCCCCTTATACTATAATAGTCTTCTTGACTGCAAACAAACCAATAAGCAAATAAGCTCGTGAAGGTGTATATGCATGAAACAGTATGAGTACATAGATATATACGAAAAGATAAGCGGGCAAGTGAATGTGTATGTGTGTATATATAGATATCTGTATTTATTTGTGTAGGTACATTATATGTATATATATATATATATATATATTGTATGCATATGTATATGAATATATATGGTTATATGTACATGTCGACGTAGATGCAGATGTACATGCCTGTATTGTGTATGCATGCATGGATTAAGGTATGCATGCGTGCATGATGCATGCATGCATAACATACGAATGCACATTCATGCGCATGCATATATATATATATATACATATATATATATAAGTATACACATGTATATATATATATATATGTATATTGATGTATATTTATATATATGTTTAATTTTTGTACACATATATTTACATACATATATGTATATATACACACGTATATTTTTTGCAGGGTTTGCGAGTTTGTGGGTTTTGGAAGAAGGATTTTGGCCTCTGGTTCGGGTTTAGGGATCTGCGGTTGCAGGTAGGCGTTTCGCTGTCGCGATGGTCGCATGGAGCAGGGCATCAATCTGAGCATGTGCTGGGTCTTGATAGGCTTGTAAGGTGGCGGTTGCCAAGGTATGCTTATGCCTTTGCTTCGGTAAAGCACACTCGACGTACCTTTACTGCACCACGCTGTGTATCGAATAAACCAGACGGGAAACCTTTTTTTCGCAAAACGATGGCAGTGACCGCGAAGTTTTCAATTTCCGGCCTGTGAAACCTCGAACCCGAAGCCTCAAGACTAAATCGAAACTCCTAAACCGTAACATGCTGAAAGTGCTGGCTTGAACGCCACAGTCCTGAATGACAGCAATATTCATTGTATTGCGGTGCAAAGCTTATCTGGGCTTATCTGGATCTGGATCTGGACCAGGCAGTCGAGCCGTCTTTACGGCGCATCCACAAATTATGCAGCGAATTCAAGCAACGGTGGAAAAGTGACAGACATCCTCCCTAGTGCATACGCGCACTCAGCATTCCGATGACAGGCCGAACCGCTCTATTGCAAAACATAATGCCCAAAACCCAAACGAATGCACAATCAAAACATAGAAAAGCTTGGGTCAAGCTCACGGGGCCACTGAATGTAGTCGGGGGCTAGTACATAACACCCGGAACTACAGAAATCAGCGAAACCCCAAGACAGAGCAGGGATGAACAGGCCGGCAAAGGCAATCGAAAAGGCACTCCTCAAAGTGGCGCATCCTGTTCGCATATAGAAGCCGATCAGCACGCTAAGCGCCCTAAGCTCAAAGCCCTTCTGCTTCAACCCGGGAGTCTTGCTTCCTAACCTTTACAATACTCGTAACTTCACCCCGCATGAAGAAGACTTGTATAATAACCTTACTGACATCTTCGTAAAGCTTCGCCCCTTGAGTTGGGCAATTGGGTAGTTGTCAAAATTATGGTCCCTTTTGGGGGCCTAAATATTAGGTGCCGTACTATAATAAGGGCCCAAAAAAGGGGACCTAATTTTGACAGCCACCTCATTATCACTTCCCTTTTTTTTCGCAAGGCCGAGCTCCCACCTGTGACGATGTCAACGAACGTACGACCGCGGAAAACCTTGTCCCGGGAGCAGCAGATCGACCTTGTGGGGCGCCAAGGGTTTAGGGTTTAGGATCCTTAGGGTTTAGGGGCTTTGGGGCTTCGGGTTTAGGGTTTAGGGTTTAGGATTTAGGGTGTCCGGGATGAGGGTTTAGGGTGACGTGGCTTGGGGGTTATTGAATGGTTTCAATAGAGTTCTGGCGTTTTTGACATGGCATATCCATGTAGGAACGAGGAGGGGGTTCCATCTGTGGGCAGAGATTAGGGTTGCCGGTGAGATTAGATCGCTTAGGGTTCGAGGTTGGGTTGTAAGATCCAGGGCCCCAAGGAACAGCGCCACAATCCGTTGAGGGTTGATGGCTCAGGGTTACACGGGGTGTGGGGAAGCAGAGTCCCTCACCTGAAACCCTGAACCCCCCGGAAGAGCCGACCTGCCAGCAGACGGAACATGAAACCCTAAATCATGCCAGACTCTAAATCCCAAACCCGAAACCCTCGAAAGTCCCAACTCCAAAGTTGGACACATTGGTTTAGGATGGAAGCTCATGGGAGGATCTAGAAACGATCGCTCCTAGCAGTAGTGGCAGGAACGTAGGTTTAAGGAACAAGCAAGCGAGTCTGCAGTCATGGCCAGAGTGCCTAGCCTGGCCACCGATTGGTATGCCCATCCCTGTCTTGCGTGTTTGTTGACATCTTGCTAGGTCCCTTTGGATACGTATACTGTATGGTAGTATATATTATATTGCAGTAAGTCTCTTTCCTGTTCAACTGCGCAGTGGCATTCTGATCTACTGCTCACTGCCCCAGAGTGACAGAAGCCTAGTAAACCACAAAACCCAGACATAATCCAGATCCTGAGATGACCCCCAGCCAAAGATCTACAGTCTACAGTCTCTGACCCCCCTCTGCCCCAGACTTTAGATTCACTCTAGGATTGAGAGATTCTGCTGCTCAGCTCACAGCCGTCAAAGGTCGTGAAGCTGGGCAGGAAGAATGCCTGCATCGAACGTCTTCGGGACAAGCTGCTCTCCACAAAGAGTTGGGGTGGATCCCTACACCCTCAGCCCCAAACTGATCTGTTGTCATTTTCGGGTTCCGCCTACCCGGCGGTGTGCATGGCTGTGCGGGTGGTTTGTGGATTGCGAAACAGATGGGCTTTCGGTCCCTTCCAAGGTAGGTTTAATTGAGAAGCATTGTTGCAGCATGGTCCGGTATAGGAGCCTTCGAACTTTCCCCTGTCATTCCTTTGTAGTTTAGCTACAGTATGGTTACTCGTGGTAAAACCTGACATATACCCATGCGTGCGTGTAAGGAATACTGCCTCCGAAGCTCGTGTAGATCTTTGAACAAGCTTTAGGACTTTAGACGCTACAAGAACAAGGAAGCTAACCGAAAACCCTCAATCCTAAACCCCCAAGCTCTAAGCGTCAAGCCATAGATAATGGAACTATTTAAAAGCAAGCCCCTGACAGGAAATCCTCTTCCAATTCTCAAGGCCGCAAGTCCCCCTAATGAGTTCAGCCCTCAGGGTGCAGAGAGGCCAGGATATGAAGGCCGGCGGCTTGCAGCCCGGTGGCAGACCCCTAAACCCTAAACCCTAAACCCTTTCTTACCAAGGGTTTAGGGTTGAGGGGTTTTGGGGCCAAGGGGGTCCAGGGGGGTGTTTGGGGTTTAGGGGTCTAGGGTTT